ATTCAAGTTAAACCTATGGTTTAAAAGTTATAATCAAATTATGTTTAAATTAATTCAAATTAATTTAACTTCCTAAATTCAAATAATAATCCAAAAATATTTACTAAAGTTCATTTTTAGGTTTCTGAACCTAGTTGCAAAGTAATTATTCCAATAAACATTTTTAATTCAAAGTTAAACCAAATTTAGGTTTAAACATTGTTTTAATTATAACTACTATTTAACTATATTCAAGTTCAAATTTTAAATTATTTAAAATTGTACTACATTAGCTAAGATGAAATTGTATCTCACTAGTTCACTTTGCAGAAAGTATCAATTTCATTGGATTTATAATTTGCAAGTTATGCCCTATTTAAATTCAATTTCATTCTATTGGAATTTAAATTTTAAATTATTCAAATTTTAAATTTTATTTATCTAGGTGAAAGTGCATTTCCTAAGGATCGTTTTGCAAAAAGTTTCACTCAATTTGGACTTATACATAAATAGTTATGATGGTTAGAATATCTGGGGGGGGTTCTGCAAAATTGCCAAATCAATTTAGCTAAATGAATTTTCTCAGGATAAGGTGGTGACATGGCAGTTCCTGATTGGTTGATACCGATTCAAATAAGTGGGTGTGTCTGTGTCGTGCGATCAAGATCTGAAGGTCGGGAATAGATCAGAGGGGGTTAGGGTTTCGACTCACCGGAGATCTTCGCTGGAATCTAGCCGAAAAATGCGAGCATGGCACCGCTGGCCTCGGACATGGTCGCTCCGGTCATTCCCGTGGGTGCTAGAGACGGCAGAGGGCATGGACGAGTGCGGCTCGGCGTCACGGGTCCCCTAGTGGCCTTGGTGGTCACTGGGGATGAGGGAAGCGACGTCGAGGGGTTGCCGGAGTTATGCACGACGGCGAAGGCTTTGGGAAGTGTTGGCAAAGCTCAAAATTGAGCGCATGTGGATGAAGCAAAGGGCCATGGAGATGCGCGAGAACGTACCGAAGATGATGTACACGGTGCGCGGGTCAAACGTGTGCTCACCTCGCCGGAGTGAAGCCCACAGCGGCGGTTGGGCTCGGTCCTCGTCGGAGTTGGGGTCGAGAGGTCTTGGGGCTCACGGAGGATGTCTAGAGAGTAAGTCGTGAAGCGGCGAGTCGAATGGTGGCAGCGGTGGGGCACGAGGGATTGCGGCTTAGCGGAATTGCGCCGACGAGATCCTAGGTCAGTACGGCGGAGAGGGGGTCACGGCAGAGCAGCCTGGGGACAAGGGATGCTACGGTAATGGAGCTTTGGGAGAAGGCGATGGGGTGGATTTATAGGACATGGAGGAAGGTCCTGGCCTGGCCTGAGTGCGCGAGTGGGGGTATCATGGGCGCGGGTGTGCGGTTGTGGGCGATGTGGGCGCGGGAGCGGTTGTGGGAGGTGGGGGACGGTGCTAACACACAGGCCCAGGCGGTCGATGAGAGGAAGGAGAGAGAGGGGCGCAGGTGTGGTGCTGGGCTGGCTAGCTAGTTTGGCTATGGCCTGGCTAGCTGGCTGGCTGGGCCCTTTTCTTTTTTTTTTATTTTCTGTTTCTGTTTTTCCCTTTTTCTTTTTCTGTTTTATCTGGAAATTCAAATAGGTTTTGAATTTGAATTTTCTTCAAACTAAAAACTTGCTCTAAATTCCAAATGGAATATTTATGACTATGCCAACCTTTTGTATGGACATTTTGGACATATATTCTTGCACTTATATTTTCCTTTTGAATTTGAATTTGGTTTCAAAACCAATTGTGTTTCAAATCCAATTTAAAAAATTGGCAGAAGGTCAAACTCATTATTTGGACTTAAGAAAATCCTTTTCCTGCCAAATAAATGCAAAGCCATTTTTAAATAATTTCCCTTGACTTTTTGAATTGATTTCAAAACAGATCCAACTCAATTCTTTTGGGAAAATTCATTTGGTTGTGAATATTATTTGGGTCTTGTTATGGGTATCCTTACGCCCAAATAATATTTCAAGATGGTTTGGTTTCTGCCAATGGCTAGCTAGGTTTGAACTAGTTGCATCGGGATTTTAACCCTTCCTAAGCAAACAATCAAGCAAATCGAAGTTAATCACAAGCAAGTCTAGACATTCATGGGTTTTTCCTAGAAATTTTTTTAATCCCCTATGAAATTTTTAACATACCAGATTTGGAAAAAATCTAGGATGTGACCGATCATCGAGGATGAGAGAGGATAGTCGCCTACAATAGGGTACATGTGGAGTCGGAAGATCAAGCAAACAGGATCCAGAGATTCCTCGTAGCATATCACAGGATCGAAAAGCGAGAAGCTCATCACCCTCTCCAAGGTGAACTTGTTGAGCACATGTGGGTAATTCATGACACTTGATTGTTGTGCTTTGATTATGTTTTATTTGGACTTGTACGTCATTTGGACTATATGTTGTGTTTAAATTTGAGGATCTAATGTGCAAAAGTAGTTGAAAAGGGGTTTATATGCAAAAAATTATGGAAGAAATAGCAAAGGAGAAATTAGGAGTGGACTACATCGCGAACGGTTGTATCATGCGAGTCGGCTGGAAATTGGACGGTATCATGCTAATTTCATGCATGTGAGAGCATCTTTTGATAGGAATGATAGACTACGCATATCAACAAGGAATTCCTTTTTTTAGGAGCCCATTTAAAAAGAACTCCAAAATTAAGCGTGCTTGGCTTGGAGCAATTCTATGATGGATGACCGACCGAGAAGTTGGTCCCCAATTTCATGATTCTTAATTCTACGCATGTTCAAACCCACAGAAACATTGCCCAACATTTCCCTTATAAGCATGTAGACGGACGGTGTACAAGATTCATCGAATGTCCGCATCATGATACTAATGGACTCTGATAAGTGACATACGTGTGGCACAAACACATGTCAACTTCAATGTATTTTATGACAAGTTTAGTAACGCGAGGATGGCAACTTTATTTTCGGATGACATTTTTTTTATTTGTCTTTCCTTTTGGATGGCAACTTTAGTTGTAAAAAACGTCAGGGCGGGAAAGCTTCATACCACACGTGTGGCACTTATCATTTGGAAGACTAATTAAGTCTAACACATCTATTAAAGTAACAAGGGTTAGTGTGCTTTTGGGCGCGGACGGATGCGAATGCGTCCACCTCCATCCCTACCCCCTTGTACATGCATCGTTCAAAGAGACACGAGCACCCATCCCCTCGCCGATTGAAGCTAAAATTGTGCCTCGGTGTGAATCCCTCCCTCCTCATCGTGATTGAACGAACGAACGTCATGCCTCGTGGTAGGTTCGACATTCGGCATTTTTACCGAAACCCCTTGCTGCTATTGATATAGTCAAGGAAGTGTTATCCATGTGAAACGCTTGTGTTAGCATTAGGGAACGGGGAAAAAGTCCAAAATAAACATTTAATTTATAGACAAAAGCTAAATTAAATCCTGAACTTTCAATTCCCGAAATCAGTACACTAAACTCTTTGATCCCGGTCTATTTTAAACCTTGAGAGCATTCCCAAACAGGGATTGTCGATGTGGCAGGTTGAATCCTGGGATTGTTGACTGTGGTAGCCATTGGGCCGGCCCAACAGGCGCAAAAAAAAAGACTGAGATTTTTTTCGTTTTTTTTTCATAATACATGAATTGAAATAGACAGCTACTACTATTGTTGATTGCGGACGCGACCGGGCCGTCCCACGGCGTGCGAAGCGAGTTATTTTTTTTCCTTTTTCATAAGGCGCGACGTAAAAAATACACACAAAATAGGCAACCCAAAGGAGTCGAACTTGCGACTTGGTGCTGCCAACTTCCCGCCCAAGCCAGTGGAACAAATGGTTCGGTTCTTATTGATTGAATAAGAGGCCCGATCAATTTAGCAACACGCCGCAAAGTCAAGATTAGAAAAAACGTAAACACATGTGAACAAATGTGTGAGACGTTGAGTACTTTTTAAAATATGAACAACATTCTGAAAACAGAATGAATTTCGAAAAAGTGAACACTTTTTGAATAAATGCGAATGAATTTTGAAAACTAAATTTTTTTGAAAATCCGAACACTTTCTGAAATTTTAAAAAAATGGGAGCAACTTTTGAAACCTGAACAAAGGTGTGAAAAAAATGTTGAATACTTCTAAAAAATGAACAACTTTTTGAAAACAGTACAATTTTTCATTTTATATTAAAAATGGGAGCAACTTTTTAAACAATGTAAAAAATGTTTGTCTAGTTTTGTAAAATGTTCATTTTCATTTAGGAAATGCTAAACATGTATTTGGCAAAACATTACTGTGTATTCAGAAAAAGTTGAAAGCATGTTTTTTTTAAATGTACATAATGTATTTGAAAAAAGTCGAAAGTGCATAAAGTAATACGACAGAAAAAAAGCTGAAGAAAACCGTTGAGAAATAAAGAAAACACAAAGGAAAAAAGCAATAGAAAAAAACAATAAAACCATCGCAGAGCAGGGGCACGAGCCACTGGTCTAATGGGCCGGCTCGATTTGACTTGCCAAGTCAGCAAATCCCAGTGTAACGGTTTCAAGGTTTAAAATAGACTGGGATCATAGAGTTTGGTGTGCTAATTTCAAGAATTGAAAGTTCAGGATTCGATTTAGCTTTTGTATATAAGTTCAAGGTTTGTTTTAGACTTTTTCCTGAAACAGGGGGTGTTTGTGCCGATGGGGCCAGCATCTTGAATGGGACGTTTCATTTTGGAGGCTCGAGGATATTGAAGGCCAACAGATGCTCATAGCGCATTTTTGACAAAGAGGGAAAATGACGAGGTAGTCGAGGTGCCAACCCATAGTGGAGCTAGCGGGAGTAATGGCGATGCACAGGTGCTCACAGGTTGAAAGGAAAAGAACCTCTTCCAGAGTAGAACCGGAATTTACAATCATCCAATATAATCAGTACAATTATTGGTTGCATATATAGTACTGGTCATGATACGTGCATGATTCGACAAGGTTTTGTTGGGTTTTGTACACACAAATTAACACCTGCGATCAGGCCATGTGTGTTTCCCCGTAGAAGTCGATGGATCCTATTTGAAACCTTGGATTGGCACTAGATTCTCTCCCACGTAGAAACCGAAACCTGGCAAAGGCAAGCGAAGCTTAGCTTATTTTTAGTCGCAAGAATAATATACGCAGAATGCAACATGACTATATCATCCGATAATAAACCATAAAACGTACCGAAGTACATTTGCTTTGTATCTCTTGTCAACAGTAAATGATTTCCTACAGAAACGGCTGCCAAAGATTACAGAACTCCGAGCATCAATAGTATTCCAGGTAGACCTTTGGTCTGTGCTCCCTTCAAGGACCCTGCAATGCAACATTGTTACTGACTTGCAGAATATCATCATTTCAAGACAAATTTTAGCATGGTCCCTCTTACCTCCCCTTTTCACATGAGAGGTAAGAGTGCATAATAGATCTGAACCATTGATTTGAGTAAGTAGTGGTCTGATTAACTCTTACCTTCTTACCTCCCATGTGAAAAGAGGGGGTAAGAGGGAGCATGTTAAAATTGCTCGCATTTCAAAGAAGGTTAAAAGCAGGCAAAGCTAGTGACATACTACTCTCTAACAGGCAACTTCTATTAACAATATGAATAACTTGAGTAGCAAGTAACACCGTTCGCATAAAAACTAGTCCCTCTGTAACTTAATGTAAGAAGTTTTTTTAACACTGTCATAGACTCTAAAAACATCTTATAAAAAGATACAGAGGGAGTACTTAGTAATAAAACCAACAATGTTGTCAGCGATACAGCAACAAAAATGGCAGGAAAATGTTGCATCACAGAAAGGAGTATGGGAACAGAATGGATTATTCTCTGATTAACTGATAATAGATATGTGCCCTCCCTGTGGTGGCTGTCTCATCCCCTTAGCAGGCTATCTCCAACTTCTGGAAATAATATTCTTTACCTGGAATCTAATCCTAACAAATCCCCAGGAGATAAAGATGTTCAATTGAGATGCCCTGCCTTGGCCTGGTGTGTCCCCTGTAGTTGTAGGGCTATAGGCCCATGACAGGCGCTCATGAGTTATTTACGCGCATAACATACAGCATAAGTTCGATAGTCATTATACCGAATAGAAGCACATCAGACAGCCAAGGAACAGTTTTTTTAGTAAATGTACCAGTCCATTGGATCCCTCTCGGGAGCATCATTAGCTGACATCAAATCATATGACTCCAACTCGCAAGTTTGGCCACCATGCACCTTGTACATTAGCCAACATCCTGCAAATTAATTTTGCCATACAGCAAATCAATAAAATTCCCCAATCAATCAATCATAAGTAGTTGGAACAATTCAATAGTGTTCTTATGCACAACATGAAAATTCTGCAGAACGTCAGCTCGACAGTTGACCAGACACTGCTGTCAAAAACTGGTTGGCTGCATATGACATGAAAATGGTGCTGGCTTTCTTTGGCCGTCGCTTTATAATCTAAAGCGGGGGGAAACCCTATTTCGAAAAAAAAAATCACAGGAGTACAAACAAGAAAATATATGCTACTACCTCTGTAACTAAATATAAGACGGTTTTGCAGTTCAATCGAACTGAAATGCAAAAACGTCTTATATGTTAGCTTGAAGAACTATCTTATATTGTGGGACGGGTGAAGTAGTATTTTATAAAGAAAATGAATGATAAGATTGTGAAGAAGTTATATTGGTAGCACCAAATTACCTTTGGCTCCATCAGGTTCTTCCCATTTGGACAAGCGAATGCCGTCAAAGGCTGCTGTTGCCTGAAATGATTTCAATATTTTAGGGCAAACCCTGATAAATGGATACATAAAAAATGATTAATTTGCAACACATACAATTCCAATTGGGAGCTGCTCACTGCTTGCAAGGACTGAACCTGAACAGAGTCTATTGCCTCTTGGGAATTGATGACCTTTTGTGTAAAAGATATTGCTCTTATAGTTACTTAGTATCTCATCAACTGCATCTAGTGCTACTGGTAATGCTAAGGATGTATGTATTAGATTTCCATCTGTAGCCACGGATGGATCTCCAACAGTGTGTAACTCTGCTTTTAAAGAAATAGCAGAAAGCAATCTTTCCGCAGAGGGAAGTATCTCAAAAATTTGCTGTGATTTTTGATCTAATGTGACTCTCCTGCTTTTGAAGTTAGCATCTTTAAGATTTTGCATCAAGCTCCTCAATGTGACAAAAACTTCAATGATTCTTTCATTAGGGATGTTATTATCACAAAAATGAGAAAGAATAGCTGAAAGAGCATCATGTATTTTTGAAACATGAGCATCCACACATCTCCGAATAGGACACGACGAGCAACTGAGTGAGTCTGCTTGGCCCAATTCTGACCTTGCTGCTCTCCATTCCACAGAACCACTTTGCCTTCCAGGTAGAGATATGCTGTTGTTAACTTCAAGATAGGTAGCTTTACTAAGTTCCTCGGACTCTTTCCTGTCACGTTTTTCTAAGGCTAAGTGTTCATTACTTGACAATCCACTGCGACACTTTCTAGTTATATTCATCAGAATAGCTGAAACTGTATCCTCGGAGGTAATGGTCCGCCTAGAGAGAACCTGCAAATGTAAAGCCGCATGGCACATTAGGTAACAATGAGAACAATTTCTTCAAAAATGACAAAGATCGTTCCCGACAAACACGCGTGCGCACGCGCGCCAATACAGGCCCCCTACCTCCAACGCAGCCCCTAACCAAGCAAGAAAATTCTACCTCATGCCACTTTCTGGTGTAGCGTTTTGTTATATCATGTACTCCATCTTTTGAGATACCAATTGCATAATCTAATTTCTTGTTCCACCTAGAAAACCGATGCAACACAACATCAATATGAAGTGAAAATTAGACAAACTATTAGATGAATTATATGTCAAAATAATATGCAGAAATCAGTTGGGTAGGATTGTATTTTACCCTTTCTCATACAGCAAGGGATTATCATAGACTCCTTCGCATGGATCTAAGTGAATCCATCTGAACATTCCAGAACTGTGGCGTTAATTAAAATGGAAATAAAGTACCGCATTTGAAGCAGTGGTGGATAGGTCATACTAACCTCCCATAGAGGTTTGAAAAACATTCTGTCCAAACATGATCAGTGAAATCCAGAATCTGTGAAGTAAAGAATAGGCATGTTCAGTTGTTGACCACAGTAGAACTAAAAATTTAGGGATTCATTTGCTAAAAACAGACTTGTAGCAGAACTTAAATTGCCTTTGTAAAGAAGCATATTTATTGAACTAACTAAGAGTAAAGACCAGTCAAGGCAGCAATATGGCGATTGGACGAGCACTCCAGTAAGTGGTTTTTGGAGAAAACAAAGCAACTGAATGATGAAAAAGAATACTCACAAGAAGCAGAGGCTGGAATCTTTTCAAGAGATATAATCAGTTACGAATCTAGTCTAGCATTCAGTACTTTTTTTGACCAGGTAGTGTTGAGAACTTCAGTGTCTCATATAATCATAATATTAGCACATGTTATTTCAATGATTAATTGAGTGGGAAATCCAAACCAATTGTTTCATACTAACAATTCAGTAACTGAATAATGTGGACATTTGATAATTCTGTATTCAACTAAACCACCGAATATGAATGAATATGCCAGATATGGAAGGCCGTCAAACCATTTGACAAATATGGAATCACTTACAGTGAAGGAAACCATAATCATTACTGAAGCTAATACGATTATGAGCATTATGAAACTAACCAAACGAGCTTCATATCCAAAAACTCGACAGTAGAATGTGAAGCAATTCGCCCATTCTCCACAGCGTCCTTTCCTAGTTTGTATAAGCTTACAAAAAAGCAAGAAATGTTAATTTCCAGCTTGGTTTAAAAAATACACACCCACTACCAGGATCACAGGAGGCTAGGACAGCTTACTCATACCTTATACGGATCATTGTACCTTGGGAAACAGGTGATGCTCGAACAATGGTTGCACCTAAAAATAGTAAGTGTGTGTATATATATATATATTAATTATATATAGGCAAATGAAGTTCTAAAAGTATTGACAGTACAGCACCAGGTGCGAGGAGATGAAGTATTAAAAGGATAGAAGTACAGTTGTTCTGGTATGTAGGATCTTATAATACTACAGCACTGTGGGGCCATTCCAGAGCTCTAACTAGCATCCTATCATGCTCATAAAATATAAAAATACTGATCATGTCAACCTGCAAATGATCCTGCCTAGGATCCTGATCCAGATCCTGACAAACATGGTTATTCAGATAGAGATGAAACACAGAAGTGCAAAAAGAATTTGTCTTATGCTGCAGGAACAGTTGCAGGGTACATAATTTCCTGGAATTATACATGACAGATAATGAACATGAAGGTGATGAGAGCACACCAAAATAAGATAGCATATGTAACCAAGGGGTAACTTGGGTAAGCCTTTCGGTGAGATCTAGCAGAGCACAAGATGCATCTACTTGTCATACGAAATTTCAGATCCAAATTTGCTCCACACATTAGATCCTGCTGCAGACAGGAGCAAGTTTAAATGAACAGCTTCCAATTACATTCAAAGCAGAATTTTTCCTTTTCATTTCTCGACGTGTGGGTAAAAAGTTTATCAGAAAATGTGTAGCAAGGTAAATGCATAGCACGTGAATGCTATTAGAGAACTTCAGAATTTTTCATAACTTTTGTTCCTCCAAAATAAGTGGTATCACATCTCACCCAAAAAGATGAACCTAGCCAAATTGCTAGTACATAAATAACCAGGCTTCAAGATGTGGAACTGTCATTTACTTGGATATCAATTTTGCAAGTTGTTGAAGGAAACATGACCGTTCTAAAAATAAATTTGAATTAAGATAGCAGAAGTAGGTCCAACTAAATAAAATTCTACTGAATGCTACCTATAGATCTCGACACGGGAGGCACCGAATTCAATTTCTGAGGGAAGTGGGTTTCCCATTCCAACCATAGATGTTTCACGGTCACAGATGTCACAAGCTGGTGCATTAACCCATCTGCAAGGACAAGGATCACTGTTAGCCAATATGCAAGATAAGCATCATTGTTAACCCATTTGCAAAGATAAGCATCAATGTTAAAAGATGAAGCGTATATGAGTTCTATCTTAAGCTGTTCCACCACACATGTAAGGCTGTATAGTGTGTACTGAGTGACGTGGAAATATAGAAATCCAAACAAAAATACCACTGATAATACCATAATAAGGCTCGATGAAGTTCAAAAAGATAGTGTTTAATCTCTATGTTCCACGGGCTCAAGTGAAGCCATGCAAGTACCACTGGACATTTGTTATGGACATACTAATCACTGAGGCATTTTGCTTTGCTTGACTTCTTTGACAACACTGTTCAATGTTCCAAATAGCATTACTTTTCAGAAACTAAATTCAATGTTCTTCTATATAATTCAAAATGGCAAAAGTAATGCCACAGAATATATATGATAGCTGTCACGTGGGTTGGCCACCCACATGCTATCTTGGGCTCCAGTTAAGGGATATATGGATATATTCCTGTTCTTTTAAGTTAGGAATCGTACCATTTAATAAACTAATTAGAGAGAAGATATTAGTTTGCTACCTAGGTTTGACTTGTTGGGCCTCTATATATAAGGATGACCTCTCGAAATGAATTAATCAAGCGGGAAGAGTTACGATCTATCTCACATCTACTTCATACTCGTAATCCCTAATCTAAACCCTCTTATCAGTTAGCTAACACCCGGCGATCCTCCCAGCGGTAATTACTCTCATGAAACCATATCAGACACAAGACACTAATCATCTGCAAAAAGAAATAACCGAAAAAAGAGTCATGAGAATGTTTCAATAACCTGAATGATTGCTTAAACCAGAGAAGCAATTGCAACAGAAAGGCATGATCCTCTTCATTTTTCGAAGAACTGAAGATCCCTTCCTACTAAAGAATCTTGTATGAGAATTTCTGACAAGACATCCCTTCAAACATAGAGCTTGATATAGCAATCCACACCATTACGACAACAAAAATATCCAGACACAGTCATGGTATTAAAATTTACAATAGTAAAATACGACAACTTTCTATGGAGCCAAACTTGTACCAGAAAATATAATTATCATCAAGTCCAAGGAAACATAGTTCTATAGAAATATAGAGAACATCAAGACAAAAAAAAAGTAACTAACAGAAAGCCAAGGCAGAAACAGAAACCTTGGCCAGTGAAATCAGCGCCTTCTCCTTAAGTTCATCTACAGGAACCGTCTTCAGAGCTGCTTCCTGACGCACCGGATCCTCGTACTACATCCAAAATGAGTGTCAGCAAACAAGAACTAGAAACAACCACAATATTAAGGAATGCTTTGCAAATGAAAAGTATTTCAATTACATACCTTCAGAACCTGGCGCATGTATGGCTCAACTCTTTCTCTGAAAACCTCTCCTCCGTCACTTTGTATGCTGTACTGTTGCAGTAGAAGTGCCTCTTCTTCCGCCTAAGAAAAAATCAGTAAGCATAGTTATATTTTCCTATAGGTGCCCTTTGGTTCAAAGGAATGAAAGAACTTCCCAAATTCCTACGGACTGCTTTCCTACACCCCAAATCTATAGAATCGTCGCAAAGAGCTACGAAGCACCGATACGTGCAAAACATGTGTATCCCCATCCTGTACGTCACCGATGCGGCGATAAGCATGATACCGCAGCGATACGCATATCCCTGGGGTATCGTGATTTTCGATTTAAAACAAAAGAAAAAAAATGCCGATACGCCGCCGACACGCCAGCGACACGGGAAGCCCAGTAAAAGCCCACTCCACCACTTGCAAAGTCGTAACCCTAAACAGCCAGCACTCTCTCTAGCAGTTTGTTGTGCAGCAGATTGGATCGAGGATTCAGGTGCGACCGCACGAGTGCGCCGCCGTGTTGCTACCACCGCCGCCACTGCCTGGATTCCGTTGCGGTCATCTGGACTCGCCTCGCCGCTCCGTGGACTCATCTCGCCGCCGCTTGGAGTGTCCGCCGCCGCCTGTTGGCCGTCACCAGCAAGGTGCCCCCCCCCGGCCCCTTCCCAATCTCTGCTCTCTCCCGGTGGTGTCTGGTCCTCCCGCTCTTGCTGGCTTGCTGCGTGCTGATTCTGTGTGTGCTTCCTGCCGAGTGCGTGTGTGCTGGCTGTGTGTGTGCTTGCTGCGGCGTGCGTGCATGCGTTCGTGCTTGGTGTGTCTGCCTGCGTACTTGTTCTGTACTTGTGTGCGTGCTTGCTAGCTGCAGCTGGGCACTGGGTGCTGGCTTCTGCTGTATCAACTGCTCCCTCCGTCCCAAAATAAGTGTCTTGAGCTTAGTACAAATTTGTACTAGAGCTAGTACAAAGTTGAGACGCTTATTTTGGGACGGAGGGAGTATGATTTTCTGCTGACCTGATGATGTTGCAGCTATTGCTAGGGAGTAAAATACTGACAATGACATCTGCAGGCCAATCTTCAGTTGAGAGGCTGGGAAGCATCAAGCATGTATCATTGGGTAAGCAAGCTACGAGCCAACGTCTTTACTGTTTTCAGCTTTTCATGTTCAAGTGTTATGTATATTTCAAATTCTAATACAAGCATATGATGTATTTTGCAAGTACCATGAGGATTCAGTAAATCGATGGTCATTCAGTCATCGAGACGAGGACTTGATGAAAAGAGGCATCTATAATACCTAAATAGTTCATCCCCACTATCCTATTTCTCTTGACATGCAGCCTATCCACCTCAGCATTTTTCAACCAATGGTGTGATTTAACTCTGATAATTTTTTCTCTGAGATATTTAACTCTGGTAATTAATCAAACAAGGCCTCCTCTGTCTTCCACTGAAGCCCATCAGTGTAAAACCTGGTAAAGAGAAGCCCATCAGTCATCTCTCTGTATCCTGGCAGACCAGGCGACGCTTTCAACCCCCACCCACGCTGCAACGCACCACCAGAGGGTGCCCTGAATTCTCAAAAAAAAAAAAACAGACGGTGCCCTGCAACCCTGCCCTCTGGCGCTCACCCAGGAAACCACCCCTCATGCAACCCACCTCCGCCACCGCAACAAGATCCGGTGCAGGGCCGCCGCCGCCTCTGACCCATAAGAATTGAGATTCTTTGTCGCTGGTTGCCGTCCGGCGCGGCGGCGCGCAACACCTCGCGAGGTCCTGTGTACTGCAGGGTAACCGCGCCGCTACCCTCCAGTACCGATGCGTCCAACCTCGGCCACCTCAACGGCCTCCTCAAGAGCGTCCTCCACCACCGCCTGGTTACCCAGAAGCGACGACGCCGCCGGCTCTCGGATGACTTCCCGTGCTACAGCTAAAGTGCCTCTTTAAATTGTGGAGCGACATCGCTCTAATCGTCTCCAACATCAGGTTGGTCGTTGGTGTCTGCACCTTTATCCAAAATCGTGGCATGATGTACAGGTTTCTTTTGTCGAGAGTGATGGAGTACGAGGGAATTTTCTTCAAAGTCAATCTGATTCGTTGTACTCACCGTAATAGAAGAAACTACCTTCAGGCTGTCTCTATTTTACTCTTAAGGCAGCAACATTTAGTTCATCTAAATCTGTATTAGTCAAGATTGACTTCAGTTACGGTCCTGCTTGGTTATGCTACATCTGTAGTCCCTTTTCCCATGTCTTTGTTAATCAAGCCTTTTGTTGTTTGCAGTGGTACACGTCCATGTCATCTCCACAAGTTGTGGCCTTGGTAAGCACTATTAAGCTGGCAGATTAAATTATGAATGGAAATAGCTTATGAATCATGCCTTTCTATGGATACCCATTAATGAAATTTGTTTACTAGCCACAGGATTTACATTTCAGATGTCTCTGAAAGCATGATAGTGAAGCAATGCAGGCCAATTTTGTATTATTATTATTATTATTATTATTATTATTATTATTATTATTTTCAATCTCAATTTGCGCTCTGGTTGTTAAAGTTTCTTTCTATTCATTAACAGTTTCCCGCTACTCACATCGACTTTAGATGTATTTGGTTAGTCCATCTGTTTCATCACATTTCATAGATTGCCAACAGAAATGTGACAGTTTGTCTTTTCACTTTTCAGGACCACTACCATTCCTTATTTATGTCTACATGAAGTGTTTGCCACAATGGATACCTTAAGACGGGATGCGTACTTTTACGAGGCTACATGCAAGTTACACAACTACTTGCAACAAAACTGTGCATGCACTTATTTGATTGCTCACATCTATAAATGGAGATGACTTAGTTGGTTAAGATATCAACATGTTTTCTTTTTCTCTAATACTATTATGTATCATTTCATCTGAATGCATTTGAAACATATGCTTGATCATATTTTTTTGACTAGGCAAGATATTAATCATATATTTGTTCATCCATCTTCTCCGGGACAATCGAATGTTCATGTCCCATGTTTTATTGCTTCTTCGACTTGCAATGTAGGCTACATAGAAGGCATTGGCAAAGCCACTAATTGGTTATCGACGGTAATTATGTTTACCTTTTTTAGATCAAGCATAAGAGATCTTCTGATGTGAATGGTTTCCTTTCTTTATATTTCTAGAGGATTGTAAGCCCATTTTTACCAATGTAGCTAACTAAAGATATGATTTATACCACTGTGTCTGCTTCATTAAGGTATTCATGAAAAAAAAAGAGCCACGAGACTTTGCCACCATTATTTCTATAACTGCATTTTTTTCGGAAGCAACTTTTTTTAGAGTGCAAAGTGAATTTCTATTTTGCAAATGTGCAATGTAAGACACCTATAAATATGAAGCAGAGAACTTTTATATGTTCTAATTTATTCTCGACAATGTATTACTACAAATCCCGCAGCAACGCGCGGGGTATTATCTAGTGTATGCAACTTATGGGGCAGTATTTTGATCTCATCTCATGCATTTAATTATTCTTTGTCTTTATAACATGCCATTTTATTAATTATTTATCTATACTTGCCGCATCGGCATATTGCTATTTCTGAAAATTGCCGTATCCAGTATCCCCGTACCCATATCACCATTTCCGTGTCGTCGTATCGGTGCTTCGTAGGCGAAGAGGGTAGCCCTCTTGGAAATTTTCCTTTCTGTCTAACTATGGCATCACTCAGTCTGTGTAGAAGATTAATGTGTTTATCCTGTGGAGCAATCAAACAACTTCTATTACCAATTCCAGTGTTTCCAATTCCTGTATGATTTAGCATGTCATGACTCATGACATCCTATTCCTATGTTCAAAAGGGGATCGATATTTGGATTTCCTTCTCTCTCTTTTCCCCTAGGTGAAGTACTTAAGTATTTAAACAAGGGATGCAATTGTTTGCTGCCCTCAAACTACATTTATGCAAGTTTGAACAGATGCAGGTATGAAAACGGAGCATAGCTCTTGCCCTTTTCACTGCCCAATCAAACAGAAATGATCTTGAACAAATGTAAACAGTACAAGACCTGCCGATACCATCCAAACTGCAATGCAGTAAAATGCAGTGCCCATGTTTCACCCTAGTCCAACCCAAACTCCAAACTCCAAAGCCATCGCGTGAACTAGATTACCAGATCAATTTGCACACTAACCAGGACCAACCCCTGGACCAATTCCATACCGCACTAGACCATCCGATACAGCCAGGGATGTCATAACGAAACCGCACCTGAATCATCCTCGCGAGCTCCTCGTCGGACTTCTCCTGCGCCCTCGCAGCTACAGCCGCCGCTGCGTCCATGTCATCCCCCTCGCCGATGGGGACGAGGCGGAGGACCTCAGAAATGGACTCGAGGTCGGTGCCGTCGTCGACCACGGAGCCATCCGCATCCACCTCGATCTGCACGGGCACTACACCGGATCAGAGTACAGCGGAGCCAAAACACCCGGATGATCGCGGGGTGTGAGTGGTCTGGGAAACTGCACCTCAATCAACCTCGCCAGTTCCTCATCGGACTTCTCCTGCGCCGTCGCCGCCGCCGAAGCCGAGTCCGCGTTCTCCCCCTCGTCAATGGACATGAGGCACAGGCCCTCGGGAATTGACTCGAGGTCGGTGCCGTCGTTGACCACGGAGCCATCCGCTTCCACTACGATCTGCACGGGCACCACACCGGATCAGCGAACAGCGGAGCGAAAGCACCCGGATGATAGCGGAGTGTGTGTCGTCGGGATGGGGATCGAACCTTCTGGAGGTCGGGCGGGACGGAGGTGAGCGAGAAGATCTGAAACCGGAGGACGTCGAGTCCGTCCTCCGTGTCGTACTCGACCGTGTGCTCCTCGTCGGCGGGGACCTCCCGGACTACGAACCTGCGAGCCACCATGGCGTTATCTCTCCGTGGACCAGGTCGCGGCGTAGTCCACTATCAAGGCCTCAAAGGGTTTGCGTGACAGGTGGGAGGGAAGGCAATGGCCGAAGCAGCGCACAAGGGCCTGTTTGCTTCTTTTTTTTCCGATTCTATAATAACTCCCGAACGTGCCATATTGTTGCTCCTCGTCCCGAACACGTCCTGAGCCGTTGATTGCAAGTACACATCTTAAAGCACTTAAAATTGCCAGGTCACGTTCTTCTGGTCGTTGGCTAGAAAGGACGAGACTTGCCTGCTCCCCGTGCGTGTGCCCATCCGTACTCCTGCGTACGTGGCTTAATTTGATTGAAGCAAATAAGACCCGGCCCCATCCCCTTAAAATCAGGGGGGAGATGATTAGATTAGAAAGGAAAAAAGAAAAAAAGACAGCCGTAGGATGAAGTGGGAGCACGGATGGGAACATGGGGAGGGAGCAGGCAAGCTGGATCCGGCTAGAAAGGACGCGCGTCCCACGTCTCCTTCATCTCGCCTTATCAGTTGCCCCCTCCTCCCAACATACCATTGGAGAAGGTCGGTGTGGGTTAGGTTGGGTGGGCGACTGTAATGGAAAACGTGAGCGCTCTCCTTCCTCTTTCCCCGGCGCCCCCTTCCCAGCCCCTTGCCGGAGCAGCCGCCGTCCCTTCCTCCCCTGGTGCCATCGTTGACTGCGCCTGCCCTGTCGGCACCGGCCGCCTCGGCTAGGCTCCGATGGGCCGACCTCGGTGATGACGACGCGGAACCCTCCATCGTAGGCCCTTCCGTCGCATAGTCTTCCCTTCCCTCCCCGCCCCCCCCCCCG